AACAAACAACAATCTTCCGTCACCAATTTCGAAACCGACAACTTGTCTTTCTTAATAATATTGTCAAACACCACTAGTCAAACCAACATGTTATGTTTATAGGAAATGGGCTTACCCTAAACAGTATCACACCATAATCTCGTAGGAGAGGAATTATGAATTAAGGACCAGACTGGTTGGACCGAAGACTTTGTAAGTGTAGCACCATTCCATTCCATTGCAAGGAGACCCTCATACCTGATATAAAAATGTTGAGATTGGGATTTACACTCCAGAATGTGACACTAAACCCACGAAACCCCCGACAGAGGGCTTTAAATCTCTTAAAGTCCTCGTCTGCTTAATTATGTACTTGCAAACCCAGGCAACCCAGATCGACCCAAAAGATTCCAAATGTTCCTAAATGATACAAGTCTGGTTCCAGATCTTGAAATCTATGATTCCCATACCTCCTTCTACTCTTGGCAAAGCTACTTTCTGCCATGAAACTGGAGCGAGAACCCCCTTCCCTCACATTCCATAAAAACTTGTTACATACATAGCTCTTCAATTTGCTTTAGTACCTTCATCGACAAAAGAAAGATAACCATCCAATACAGTAACACACCTGTAATCACATATGAAATCAACTATAAAGGACCAACATAGCTAAGGTAATGAGATTGCTAGCTTCTGATGCATGCGAGCTGTGATCCTGTCCCCCAAAGCCTTTCAATCTTTAGAGATAAGCTTCCCTATGATTAACGAAACTCCCATATAATAATATTGAAAAAAACTTGTGGGAATTTTTAATGTTTATTTGAATTATTTTTTATTTAATTAATTTTCCAGACTACGTGGCATCCACGCTAGCAATATGTGCTGACTCAGTAACAGTAACTGGTGTTGACACTCCAACTTGACTGACAGCACACAGATTATAGTAATTCGAGTAATGTAAAGTTTAGAATAAAATTGAAATTTTCGAAAATATGGATCAAATAACCTATTAGCGATTTAGCGTTCCCATTTTAGGTATTAATTTTTCCTTTCTTTATCTTGACCTAAACTTATATAAATTTTAAGGGTGGTAACCGGTCAGCCGTGTAACCGACAACCGAACTGGTAACTGGCAATGTAAAGTTCAGAACAAAATTGAAAATTTTGAAAACATGGACCAAATCATCTATTGGCGTTCCAATTTTAGGTATTAACTTTTTCCCTTCTTTATTTTGACCTGAACTTATATAAATTTGATTAAAATCTGGGCCCAGATAACACTGAACCACGTCCATCCAGCTACATCAAAGCCGGCCCAACGGATAACGGGCCGTTGATTTCCTCGGGTTTTCCTCCCGCTCCAGTGTCCAACTGGGTTACCCGATGCATCGTCGCTCCGCTCTGCTCTGGGGTTTTACTTTACCTCTTCCCGCAATAGTTTCGCCAGCCCCTTGAGCTTCTTTTCTTCCACCCGAAAACCCTCTGGAGTTCGGTTCCGTTGCAGGCGCTCAAGGTCGTCAGGTCAGCATCAATCATGGGAAAGTCTAGGTAAGCCGAGCGCCATCACTCTGGATAAGTTCATAGATATATCGGCGAGCTCTCTCCCATTCCTAGGGCGGGTTTTCCCTCTTCTGATCCTTTCCAATGCTTCTCTCTGTAACTTGCAGAAAAGATTCCAATGCGAAAGCGGAGCGGAAGTTCGAGAAGAGGCTCGATTTCTACAACAGTGAGTTCATTTTTCCGCGTCGCTAGTTTTCGCTTTCTCTGTCTTTCCAATTTCTGCTCCGTTGGTCGGGTGCGGGAAATGGGCGTTTTCATGGCCGAGTCCATGTCTAAGTTTGGTGATTAATGGATTTTTAACAAATTAAATGCAGAGGTTAAGGATTCGGTTGTTCTGAATGCTACCAAGTCGATTGCCAAGGTAACGAATTTTTTCTTCCCGGCTTTGATAGTCTCTTGCTTGGCAATTGGCAATTGGCAATGCTTTTTAGCCTTTATGGTGTTTGTCGAAAGTCCCGAACGAGCGAGCGAGCTGGGTGGGAGTTTGGGCAGTTTCGTGAATCATACTTTCTGGGCTGGTAATGGTGATGGCTGAGTGTGTAAGTGTTTCGGTCTCTACAATCGTATGGTCAATAGCGAGTATATATCTCCCTAGCATTGCAATTGGGTAGGTGTGTGAATGGCGTTGTTAGCATGCTTGATTAAGGATATGCTGGAGGATGGCTCATTTATGACTTTGGAAAATGTATTGATGTTAGAACCATAGTGAGTTATCGATTAAGCCTCTGCGTGAAAACTTGTTTGGTGGTCTTTTCATTTCTGGATATGACTCGTCTATGAATCTGGCCATGTCAGGTGGCAATAAAGGGCCGAATCAGTCTGATCAAGATGCTATGAGTTGAACAGGCGAACTTTTTTGAATTCTTAAGAATGGAAATACTGTAATGCTGGAAATTGTCTTTTTTATGGCTGTTCCATCCATCACCCGTTTGGATTAGTTGCTACTTTAAGATGTGCTGTTTTGTTTGGTCCTTGCTGCTTTGTTTTGGTCTCTGGATAAATTATTCAGCTAGTTGAAATGAAAAACTTTCGTTCTTCCTTCCAGAAGAAGAAACTCAGAAGTCGACAAAAGAAGTTGAAGCCGTACGACCTTTCCACACTGTCTGAGTTTCTTCCTGAGTTGAATGCTCCAAAACAGAGAGCACCTGAAAAGGAGTTTAAACTGAACTGCAAGTCGAGGAGAAAGCTATTGTGTGTGCTTCAGTTCTATACTTAGTATGATCTATTCTCATATTGCCTGTCTTGGTTTTTGTTTCACTCACAGAGCCTTGTTCTGTACCATCATTTTCTTAATCAGGGAGGTTGAAGGGAAACAACTGAATACTGTTCTCAACCATCCAGCTTTCCAGGCTGATCCGTTTGGATCCATCCATCAACATGTACTGAGCACTTTGCCTCCTGCAGAAGATAAACCTAGGAAGAAGGACAACAAGAATGGCAAGAAAAAGAAATCGAAAAGTAAAAAGTCCAAGTCGTCTTCTGGACCTGCTTCTATGGAGTACTGATGTAATAGGTTGTGAGTTTTGTATGGCAACAGGAAGAAATCGAAACGATAAAAACTCCAAATAGTCCTCTGGACTTGCGTTGATGTAGTACTGATGTAATAGGCTCGAGTTTTGTATGCTTTTAGCAAAAGAGGAGAACTCAACCGATGTAAATGCCTTCACATGACTTTGAACTCAGTCTATCAGAGTTTGGTGCAATTTTGAATGAATCATTAGCATCTTTTCATACAAGAAAATATCTCTTCCTTTTTTTTTACACAACATATTTCATCTTATTGTCTCCTCTCTATTTCACTCACTAACATGCCATCTCCTTGGCTGGAGAAATCTTAGAAACAGGGGGAATGAAGTTAGTAGCTGCATATAATTCACACTGGCTTGCCAACGATAATGGTGGATAGCCAATTTAGGCCTTCGTATAGCCCTTCTCCTGATGTAGCAGAAGAACACTGAACAAACCTGCAGTAGAAAAGAAAAATGGAAAGGTTATAGCATCTAGCAAGAACTTGGGAAGTTGTTAAGTATGATCTGAACGCTTCTCACCACTGACGATGGCCGAGAGAATGGAGCCCGAGCTTATGAGCAACCTCCGAAGTATTCATGGCATCTGGAAAATCCTGCTTGTTGGCAAAGACCAATAGTGCTGAATCCCTCAGTTCATTCTGCAACACCACATTTCAGAAACGATTGCGTGATTTGAGGAACCAAGATGCAAGTAAACTTTTCTGTAGCAATGGACACTTCTTGGAGCAGCATACTAAAATAATGGGTTACCAACATCAGTTAGAATCCTGTGAAGTTCGTTCCGCGCTTCTGAGATTCGCTCCCTGTCATTGCTGTCCACCACAAACACCAGCCCCTGAACATTGTGGAAGTAATGTCTCCACAGTGGCCTAATCTGTTTGGAAGAAGAAGAAGAAGAAGAAGAAGAAGAAGAAGAAGAAGAAGAGGAAGAAGAAAAATGAAACCAACATACAATTTCTATGACAGCGGCTTCTCAATTCAGGCAGCTTTCCTTACCTTCTGTTGCCCTCCGACATCCCATACCGAGAAGCTAACGTTCTTATACTCCACTGTCTCAACATTGAAACCTGTTTCAGATCAAACAATGGTTCCTCATTTTTACGGCCGTGGAAGATTAAGCCTTGAGCAAGAAGGAAAAGGATTTTCCAGGGTAGATAGATAGATACCTATAGTTGGAGTGGTGGTAACAGTTTCACCAAGCTTCAACTTGTAAAGAATGGTGGTTTTCCCAGATGCATCAAGACCAACCATCAGAATCCTAACTTTACTCTTTGGAAATAACAACTTGGCGATCCTTGAGATGATCAACCCCATTTCCGCCTGCAAGTTAGCTCCCTAACTCCTGGAAATTGAAACAAGTTAAAGTTAAATTACTGAAGATCAGAGCAGGTGGGAATGAGAACCTCGTTGTTGTTTTCTTGTGGGGGGCGATACATGAGATGAGAACACTTACAGCCTGAAGCAAAAATCCAAAGATTGCCGGTTCTAAAGTTATATTGGAGTTGAGGAGGAGAAGAAAGGGATGAAAGTTTGTAGAATCCAATGTTCTTGAACAGTTGCCACCATAACCACCATTGATGGATTTGAAGTCAAATTTTAGTCATAGGAGATATCTATACTTTGCTTTTGGAGGAGATGAATGACATATTCCTTCTTCTGTTACTGTTTCCTAAACCAAAAGTTGAGACAGAATATATGCCCATTTAGTGAGCTACACCTGTCATACTCAGATAGCCCTTTCAAATCCACAATATCATACTATTGATTTCAGGCCTAAGTGGTGATTCGGATCATTAAAATATGTGTTTGAATTAGTAAAGTTATATGTTAATTGACCGAGGACGTCCATGTGTCGAAGCCGACTTGAAGTGAAGAAGGAAAATGAAGAATTGGTGATGGATTCCTGCCCTTACAGAGACGAATCAGAAATTCAGAATCAAATGTCATTTAATCAACAAATGTTGTCTAGACCCAGAGCATCCTAACCGACAATCCTTTGCATCAGATACAGATGTCAGTAGGTAACCAAAGTTACCAAACAGGCTGTTAACAAGGCTTCATAGTTCATTCTTTAGTAAGGAAGCCATAGAAAGAAGCATCAAATGCTTCAGAGGAATCAATTAAAGCAGTACCAAGATGAGTAAGATATGCAACAGAAAGATTTAAGAGGGGTACAGAATCTTTAGACAGCATACATTCTCCACTTTTCTTGGAGCATCTCTGGAGCAGCTGTTACAAAAATTACAGTTTACTAAACACTGATGTTCGTCCAGCCAAATCGGGGTCTTAACTTTTGGATGAGGATTGGAAGATGAACACTGCTGTGAGAACACCAACCAATCCTGTCACTGCCAGGGCAGCTGTAGGCACGGGGCTCGAGAGCCCGAAATTCTGCAAGCAAGCAATGGAAGAATATTGAATCAATATGCTTGAATTCAACACATTACAGTACACCATGATAGTGTCCACATTTCAACTGCAATGGTGGAAGTGAAACCAAAGCATTACCTCAAGGAGGCCTTTCCCTGTCGAAATTTCAGCCGTGATGGCCACAGCAAAGCCTATCATTGCAAGCCGTCCTAGCCATACATCCAAACCGCTATCCTGGGTGCTTTGCTCGCTTCTTACAGAAACTAATGCTGCTTTTCTTGCAGACCGCCTCTTCACAAGTCCAGTTCTAGATACCACTGCAAGTGAAAGCAGGGAAATCACAACAAATGTCATGCCTTTAAATTCAGTTTAAGCTTTTCCTTTTAGTTCTATTTAGCCAAAATTCCCAGCAAAGCAACCAAAACAGTGGGAGTATCTATTAGATAGTCATCGCCACAAGAAGTTGTGTACATGAAGTTACATCATCTAGTCCAGAGATTTCCTTGGAAGGAACAGCTACAAGATGATGTGCCAGAATTGGCAATTCATGACTCATGTACAGTCATTCTAGCCATTCTACCCTTTGGAAACATGGCTACTGATTCTCTTCAGCGAAAAATCCTAGTGCTTAACGAACTCCAAAGAATCCCAATTCCATTCAGACTGGGAAAACATTAGGTAAGTTTTGAAAAGAAAGGGGGCAACAAAGGGCAAAGTGCAACTCCGCCAAACAAAACTCAAACCAACAAAAATGCAGGTCAATTCACACTCAAACACACCTCTTTTTTCTCCAATGGAAATGGAATTAGGGGGGTGGAGTATGCTTACATAGAGGTGACCCAGTGGCGAAAGTGGTGCCAATTCGTCCAAATCTGGAATTGGGTAGCCGAGAAACGGAAAGGGTCACTTGCGAGCTGACAGGACAAGCATCTGAGACGAAGAACACAGTATAATAAGAGAGATTCCGCCAGCGAGGCAAACAGAAAGAAAGAAAGAAAGAAAGAAAGAAAGAAAGAAGGGATTATGGTAGGAAAAAGGGAGGTGTTGGGGGAGAATTACCGCGAACAGAGAGGGAGAGAGACGGTGAGAGATGAGTCCCGACTGCTGCTGTGGCCGCCGCCATGTTCAGTGGAGAGTGTAAGAAGGAGAGGTGAAGGAAGAATTGTGCGCCAAATTGAGCTGTTATCCGTTAGATTAGATATCCTCTCCTCTGTATTGTTGCGCTGCGCTGGGTCTATCGTCTTGCACTCTTGCTGGCGCGTGAAGATGTGAACCAGAGAACGATGTATTGTGAGGAGGATGAGAAGGGTATACTGACACGTGTTTCTTTCATCTGGATGATTATAATTATATACGGTACGGGTTTTTACTGAATTGCTATTCGTCGCCCTAAAATTCAAATTTTATCGCCCTAAAACACACTAACTAGACATATTTACCCATCGACAAAAAATCAAATTTTATTATTCCTAAACTAAACAAATGCCGAGAAAAAGCTTCTTTCAATTCTTCCTCAACTTTACCTTTATATCTCTCCCACCTCCCTCCCGTCGCGATGGGTCTCAACGCCATCCGCCTTCGCCATACTCGGCGGTGGTTCGCTCGCCGTCGTCTCCTGCCCAGCTGTTGTGCTATCTTTCCCGGCTTGTCGTGGTGCTTCTGTTTTCGTTGTCGGGCTCATCGCCTCCTCCTCTTCGTCCGGGCTAGGTATCGGCTGAGCCTTTTCTGTCGGCACGGTATTATTTTCCACAGCGATCACCTCCGAGGCATCGATTGAGACCACCACGGGCACCTCGTCTCGCTCCCGACAGTTCTCAGCAATTGTTTGGTTAAGTCGGGAATTCGTCGAGCGGCGAGTGGAGATCGATGGTCGCGTTGGATGACTGCATGGATCAGTTGGGGGAGGGGGTCAGTAACCTGAACCAGTCCTTGGCGGCTATTCAGGTTGGCGCTAGTACTGACTACGGAGGGGAAGATGCTGACGCCGGCGAAGATCGACGACTTGATGACGTGGATAAAGTGGAGACAGCTTCCGATCCCCCGCCTACCTGCAAGAAATTCCTCTATCCAAGTCGTCGCTTGTTCGATTGAGAACCCACAAACCCATATTTGATTAATCCCATTCTCTGTCCCAAATTGAAGCGCTGGGCATTCCTCTCCCTCGGCAGGAAATTGAAGAGGGGAGAAAATTGATTTTGCTGGGCATTCCCCTCCATCGGCAGGAAATTGAAGAGGGGAGGAAATTGTTGCTCTGGCCCGTTTGCTTTCCCAGCGGCGAGATTGGAAGAAACAGGGGGCACGAAGTGGTGGTTCTCTGAGTCTCTCTCCCAAAAACAAACGCTTCTTCTTAAGAAAAATAAAAGAGAAGGAAGCAGAGTAGCCGTGATATCTTTTTCATGAATGTCTATGATGTGTGTTCTTATGTTCATTGTAATTGTGGAATCTGTTGCAATAGTATAATGGATCATTTGATTAATTTTTTAAGCAGCCGATCATTTTCGCCAAATTACGGTGATCAGGAATTCTTCAGATTGATAAGGTCGTATTAACACACTAAAATCAAAGCTGATACAAAAGAAGACAACACAAACGCCATACACGAAGCAAAGATGTCCAAACTCCAAAGCATAAAAGATCTGTAATGGGCCTGGTGTCAAGCTGCTAGAGCACTTAATCAAAAGCATATCTGTTAAGAGAAAAGTTCACAATTGAGTATCATTACCTTCTCTTTCGAAAGAAGTAGCAGATCATTTTGGGAGATTCTCTTTTCCTCGTTATCCCCAAGAGTAAGTGCTACCTGGAAAAACCCTTCCACTTCATTACACTCCGTCACCAGCCTCGTTATCCCCAAGGTCGTATTATTTGATATCGCGATTAAACTAAGTAATTCAATCCGCTAATATGTCATAAACAATATCTCCTACATAGATAAGTACCAAGAAGATGAAATAATGTGGCTAAAGAACCGAAAAGATGACCAATGTAGCTAAATAATCTCTACTACATAGATAAGTACCGAAAAGCTAAAATAATGTAACTACTCAAGTACTACATGCTCCGGCTCGCCCTTGTCTTGTCTACTTTGCTGATGTCCACCAAGAGCGAAAAACAACCTTCTTTCCTCTTGGTACAACAATGACCAAGAACCAACAGTTGCCATATCGCGAAGATGAGACCACTGAAAACTAAATGGAGGCATCTGTGTAACACCTCCGACGTCTGCAAGTTGAAGTCGGACCCAATGTACTCCAGTATGAACGAGGGCATAAACATGAATTGGAGACGTTATCCCTGGTGGCGCTATCACGGGTAATGCACTATACCCATATGTCCCATCATTTGCCCGCCCGAAGACTGAAAATGCACAATTGTGCGTTGTCGCAAATGCTAGTAGATCCACCTCCTCAAACCAGTACTCGTTGCCACACCATCCCGAATTCCTTTGATCCAACCTATGAATTACTTGCTCTAGTGTCCCATCGTAATGTCTACTATATATAGAATCCCATCGACTAGTAATCTCTCCAATAACAGCTTGCCTCATCTCTATGTAGTAACCCTCGTCCCCATGAATAATGTGTGAGATTGCTCGAAACCCACAATGACCATCCCCATCGGGGTTAAACCAAGCTCTAACAAGATGGTGTATGCTAGATGGGATGTACGGGAGGTATGGACACATATTCCTCTCACTATGGAATTCCCACAATTGACTCTTTCGTGCACGACCTAATGAAATCAAGCAAGTGAAACAATATGGAAACTCTTATAAAAAAACTAAGATATAAAAAAAAATAGTACAATCCAAATCAAATTTATGACAACCTGTATGTGTTGACCTCATAGGGGGAGTGGGATCTGACACCGGGGGAGTAGGATCCCTCATCGGGGGAGTGAGATCCCTCGTCGGAGGGCTTGTCTTGCTGGTATTACTTATGCGTGCCTCTCGTGATCTCTCGTGCTCAAACCAAGAACGTTTTCGGGCGTTCTCCCTCCTAGGTGGTCGACCCCTCAGAATCTCTGAATCCCTAGGCTCAAGAAGACCCATGTCCTCGGGGAGAACATGAGCTCGAAGTGATGGAATAGCTACTCGAATATAATTTGGTCCTCTACAACGTACCTCCTCCACCATTTTGTCGAAAATATCGCTCTCAATAGCATCATGGTCCTCCCACTGTGCACGATCAGGTGGATCATGGTAATTTAAAGAAGACCAGAAATGATGTAAGTGGTGTGGATTCAACTCTAAACCTTTCTCACTGAACCTCTGCATTGTGCATAGACATGGAAGTCCATATGTCTCTGGTAGCACGCAACCGCACCTCTCAACATTCTTCCTACTTCCTTCTCCCCTCAATAGCTCAATCGCCCATGAACTAACCTTGTTGTTCAAGTGCACAAAAGGCGGTCCATATGCCCATGTAAATACCTATTTAAATGAATACATAACCTAAATAAGAGAAAGCATATGAAAATTATTATCACAATTCAATCAAAATGAATTTACCTTCAATCGTGATTCCTCTAGGTCTTTTCGCAATTCAATCACTCTACCTTCCACACAAGCATGGAATCTCATGAAGAGTGAATCAATCTTGTGCCTAGAAGTGTTAAGCCATGACTTCAAAGAGGAGTGAGCTGATTCCACCCTATTTGTGCTCGTGTTGCCAATATGAAACACACGGTTGGTGTAGCAATTAGCCCATTTACTCGCACAAGATAGCCACTCGCCTCTCAAGTAGTTCATCAATCGTACATTGTCCCCCCAACGACTATTTTGTAAGTCCACCCAAGCACTATCAAATCCTTCTTGGGTATTGGCATACAACAATGTTCCCCAAGGACCTCTAACAAAACCCTCTGCGACTTCTCTACTCATTCGAAAGCTCATGAGTTTGGCTTCAATGTTCTTCTTCATATGCCATACACATAATAAGTGAGTAGATTCTGGAAAGATCTCGCGCACTGCAACACCCAATCCTCCCTCCTTATCTGTGATAATAGCATTTGGGATCCTACCACCAAGCACACTCTTTAGCTGCGACAAAACCCAAGTGTATGTCTCTTTTTTTTCATCTGCCACAAATGCAAACCCAATGTTAAAGTTCTTCTGCACCAGAGTAACACCAACCAACTGAACCAATGGCTTCTTATGCTTGTTGGTTTTGTATGTTGAGTCTATCAGAACAACGAAATACCAAGCACTCAACATCTGAAGAGACTCCGGGTGGCAAAGGAAGAGATTAGTAACATGACGATCAATATCAAATTCATACTCAACGAAATACCCGAGCTTTTGAGCTTCCCTCAATGTCCACTGCATGGGTTTCATGCCACCCAATCTCTATTGCCGAATCTTGCCGGTTTCATTGTAAATTTGTTTCATGTTGTGGTGAGCATCATATGTGTCATTCAGAGACTTCTTCATTTGTTTCGGCTGAGTCATCGTTGCCTCCATTTTCTTGATGTCTTCCTTCTTCTCCTTTGTGAGAGTATTTCTTTGGCTGCTCCCTTCAGAATAAAGCTCAAGTTTATGATTATGAAACCCCCTCACACCATCAATTCTCCATTTCAAAGAACCATCCACCAATATTGCCCGTACTACCACTCTGAATCTACAACCCAACTTGCCCGTCTTCGTATTATTCCGCCTTGGCTTATCAGGATCTGGGATATATGTTATGCTCCTGCAACCATGGTTGCAATCTATATATATCCGCGGATTCGTTTCTCCCCGATTTCGTTTGGTTGTGGACACTATCAAGAAAAAGCCGAGAGATTTTGCTATCTCCTTTGCTGCTTCCCGAGCTTTGTCCTTAGTATCATAAAAACCTGCACTCATGAAGAATTGGGTGTAATCAACTTTGTCACCTTCGTCATCTCGAGAACCACCCTACAAAAAACATACAAAAATTTTCAAACCAATCCACCATTAGTCAATACAATTTATTAATTTATTTATTATAAACTTTATTTAAATAAGTACTTACCGTATTACTCATACCAAACTCCTTATTATAGCAATGGTGTTGTCAATTGTGTAGCAAACTTCAACAAAGTTGTCTCCCTAATAAAAATAATATTAGTACAAATTAGAGATCATTTAATCCAAAAATTATATAAATTATGTCCGGATGTGACGCTATAAAATCTATATGCAGATTATCAACTGAGTAATAAAAGTAAGTAATACTATCGTCCCACAAGGATTGATACAACTTCATATTTAATGATTATATCAAGGAATTGAAAGAACAAAAGTGTTTTTGTAGTAAATTAAAGACAATGTAATAACTAAACTAGAAAACAAGTAGGAAGTTAACTTGGAGAAAAATGAACAGAGAGAAGCACTCGTAAAAGAAGGTATGAAATTCACTACCTAATTACCTTATTCAATTCGTTTAAATCATAGAAATTTGATAGCCACATCCTACAGTCTTCCCCCATAAATTAAGATTTAGTTCATAATCATGGAAAACAAACTAACAAATAATTCTAAGTTCAACATCTTAAAATTCAAGAAATAGAGAAAAATTAAGAATGAAGTAACCCGTTTACTAACCTTAACTCCTGCCGATTGCCTAGAAATTAATCCGAAACCTCAGTCCACAAAAGAAGAGTTTTATATGCCAAAAACACTCTTTTTCTCCAATATCTTTGGCGGCTGGAGTTATGTCCCAATAATTCCCCTGTTATGTACCATGAAAAGCAACCTTTTATATAATTGTGATCTATTGATTCCGTGTCCCAGCTGAAAAGGAATCTGCCGGCCGAATGTTCCGCTGGCCACTGCAATTATTATTGTTTTTTTATTTATTTCCGGTTATAATTTGTTTTGAGGTAAGTTTTAAATTAAATTAAGGACATTATAGTAAAATTAATTTAATTAGGGCAACAAATAAGGATTTTTAGGGCGACGAATAGCAATCCCCTTTTTTAGTTTGGGTAATGTGATAATGTCACGCCTGGTACCTAGAATTATCACAAATTTCCAAATTTATCCTCATTTAATTATCATGATTAATTAAGCTCTAACTAACCCTAAACAAAACCAAACGCAGTCGCAGGTAGAAGTAGGTGGGGATTCCACCTCCTTCCTTTCTACGTCTCTTCATGTGGATACATATATACTAAACCTAATAGCCAAAAGCGATTATCGAAAACCTAAACTAATAAAACCAAGCAATGGCGCCGCCTTCCCCCTTCCGCCTAGTGCGATCCAAACGCCACCGCCCCCGCCCAGTTCCCATCACCACCCTTTCCCACGACCAGAAACCAGCCTGAATCCCTCCCAAGTCACCGACAACCAAAACAGCAGCCGACAGGGGCAATAACAGGAAGACGAGAATCGGTCGACACTGATCATTTGCACGCTTTCTCTGTTCGTCGTCCACAGGGGCTCCAGCTAATTATCACCTGCATGTCTTGTAGTTTCGCCGGCCGGCAAGGCTCGGAGTGCTCGAACGACGATCCAAGCTAGGAGATCGACACCTTTAATCCCTCTATCTAGACTAAGGCACGCAATAGAGGTAATGATCGCGCTTCCTTAAATATAGTCGATGATGATATTGATTACGTTAAGTATTTAGTTGGGTTACGTTGGGTAGCGATTTAGAGAATAGCAACGGGAGCAGGCGGGTTATCCCAATAGAGAGGGTTATTTTGCTAACTTTACAATCAATGCCACCGGTGGAACCAACTATGGATTAGTCGTGGCTTGGCTTAAGAATGGTGAATGAATCACGTAAATGGAGTTTGTCCATTATAATTACTAAATGAAGGTGGACTTAATTGGTTATATATATATATATATATGCTTCAGACTCGTACGCTCGAGACGCATAACATGCTTCAGATGCTTTGCACCGTAGATCTAATCTAACGGCGGTTATTAATTGTATTCATAATTATGTATTTATTAAGAATTAAATTACAAATTGAACCCTTTAAATAATTATACGTGCTATAAAGTCCCCCAACAATAATTACCATTATATTTTCTCGCATGATACCTTTATTTCGTAGAGGTTTTTATTGAACCTCGAAGATTTATATAATTGATAATAAAATTCCATTGTAATGTGGATCTTCAATTTCATCCTCCCGCACCCCAAGCCCTTCGTTCATCATCAGTTCATCACAACTTCCCCCATTAACTACACTCAATTTTACAATCATCATCCTAATCCAACAACCATAACCTAAAACCCTAAAGTGTCCACCGGAATTAGATGAAGGCGTAGACCACAAAAGGATGTCGTGGAAAACAGAGGTTGTGGTACGATCATTGTCGGAATCGGGATACTAAGCGATTAGTTTCCTCCCATCATCGTTCTGTATATGACAAGATCGAAAAGAAATTAAAGGGGAAAATTCGAGGTAGAGTTTCCTCCCATCAAGGGTTCAATGATGCGGATGAGTTGGGGTTGTCTCGATCAATGTTAGGGAGAGCCAGCTGGAGAATTCGTTGACCGGCCGCTGCACCCGAGCTCTGGCGGGTAGGGGTTTCTGGTGGGATGTGGGAGCCTACAGAACGTGGGGTTTCCGGCGTAGAGAGATGGGGATGGGATTACGGCGAGGTCAGCAATTGGGTTGCTGGATGAGAGTGAAAGCGATTGGATTGGTGTCGTGGGCTTAGCGTAGAAGAAAGAGGTGTTGGATAAGCACCTAGCGGATTGCTCCCTTTCGCAACGATGGTGCGTCCCCTGAACTTAATTCTGGTGACCGGAGATGATAATCGGAACTGAGAAAATGTACAGGGAGATATTGGGGAAGAAGAAGAGGAACGAGAAAAGAAGATATTGAAGTGGTTGGGCTGGGGGAGGTAAAAAATGTTTAATTCATGAAAGGTTTCGAACCACTGATCCTATGATTATGATGAAGAACATTCACAATCTCGGCTGGATTAGATTATTGATTACATACACATACGCTGATTACATAGAATTTGGAAAAGGTCTGGCTGAAAAAAAACTTTTGATGCATACTGTAATTAAATCCCAGCTGGTCACCAGAAGAATTACTTGAGTTTGAGTATAATAGAATTAGTTTCATCCCACACTGAACAATTGAAAATGTACCAAAAAGTGTCGATGCTGTGGATCTAAACATATAGACCAAATATTCTAAAACCATAAACTTAACTAGTTCAACAAACAAACAAGTTTAACATAGAACAAAAAGAACTGAATCCCATGATAATGTAAACTGAAATTTGTTCATCCAAAATACTCAACAGAAATGAAACCGTTAATATGATGAAATGTAGTGAAACATATAATGATCAAGTCCTTGAATCCAAAAAGCAGAGCATAAATTACGAAATCATGGAATCACTATCTCCATTTAGCTCTAGTTCTTGTTCGTGCTCTTTCCATTTTTCTTCCTTTTACGTACGAGTCTCGAGTTCAAACCTCAGCGCATTCCTATTTGCTTCCTTGATGACCATATGCCTTACGTAATTTGCAGGTTGTTTGACCAGATACAAAGCTAGTTGCATTCTCCTCATATCTCCACATGACTGAAAAATTTTCACAAAGACATTGGGCAAATTCACTAGGTTGTTTAACTACAAGTTCA